CTGTGTTGGTGGTCAATCTGAAGATTCACCGATAGAGACGTTTCGACTCATATTTCATGGGTGTTCTTTAAGTTCATGATGTTCGTAAAGTTTATAGACTTGGCCTATGCGGCTGATGATTATTGCAGACTACCGAAATGACGTCCAAACTTTCGCAACGTCTTAAAATTTAAGAACATTCGTTAGACAAGAGCGAAACTTTTGTTTGACGAATTTTTGCGTTGTTTATAAAATAGGTCGTTTTCATAGATATTCAGTCGTTTTCAACAACCCCTTATAATTTCGTGCTTCGCATTCAAACATGTCAGATAGTGTCTTCAGCGTTAGAGCCTGAGCTTCCGCGAAAATAACCTGAATCTCGAGCAGAGATGTCCGAGGCACTTTCCTCAGGTTATTTTTGGCCTTCGTCGGGGTCTTCGACCTCACAGTACAGTAATTAGTATCACCTTCCCTTCGGAAGCATTCGCAAGATTTGCCCAAACAACTGCAATTATGACTTCTTGATTTGCAGAAGCAGCGGTTGTACACTAAAGCACTTTCGGAATCTGAATCATATCGAGATGCGTGAGCTGAATGATTCGTCTCAGAAAGCCCATTTCAGCCACTTGTACTCGGAATCGAAGTTTTTAGTCATAGTTCACAACTAATTACTGTAGGTGAGCACCAGGATGAAGGTCGACTTGAATACCGAGAGCTTAGTCAAGATTCAGCTCTGCTTTAGTCACTGTGTTTCGGGCTGTTCACGCAGGACGTCGTTTGCCATTCCAATTCGCCCGTCCATGTGCTCATACTATTTTTCATCACCAGTAAGCACTAGATGCGAGAACTTGTCCACCTGTTCAACAGTTTCTTTGTTTTTCTGCAAAATACAACTGGCAGAAGTACGAGAATACACTAAGGCTTTTATTTTTGGCGCCCTCACAAGCATACACATTCTCTTCCCAGTCGGGCTACGAAGGTTTGCAGAGATCGCTGTAGACCAGTTTCAGAAGATGCCTACAAAACAACGTCGTCTACAAACAGCAACCTTCTCGTCTTCACATCTGTTACACCGATATTGCCTTGGCTGCTCTGGACTATTCTATCCATGTACAACATAAGCAGGATAGGGGGCAGGATGCGGTCTTTGCTGAGACCAATACCAACACTGAAAGTTTTCAACTTAACACCTGCTCTCAGCATATAGTTACAGAATGGCTCTTAGCAACTGGCCATTGATCCCATATGGTCGCATCCGGTTATAGGCTTTCTGCAAGTCAATATATTGCAATCTGACGAATTTTGAAGATCTGGTCGAAAGCGCTTTGGCGTGACCTCAACTCACACTGCTTTTTTCTAGAATCTTATCTTGTAGAATCAGTTATTCCGCACTATCTTCTTTCTCGTTGCGGACACCGTTGCGGACACTTTCCGGGAGACTTAGTAAGCTAATGTTCCTGCAAGTTTAGCACTTCCTAGGATCTCCCTTCTTGAACACACGTACTACAACCCTAGTTTTTCAGTCCGTTGATGTCTTCCCCATAGCCATTGCAGTTTGACAGTTACGAACTAAGTTCCGTACCATTGTCTGAAAGAACATTGTGAAAAGTCTGCATCGTCTATAGGTATGTGCTATACGTTATACAAAATATTTGTTGCTTTCATTCTTTCTTAAGATGGGTTTTGGTCAGAATATATGAGGTTAATTTTTGATAAAACGCCCTAGGAGGTATGATGTGTCTCTCACCTGATGCAAATGAGACTCTAAGATTCACTATGCAGCATTTTGTCAAACGGTGTATTTTTCCTATCTTCACCGATTCCTCCTTTATCTTCTTTTCTGGACTTCTCAAAACCGACGTTCGAATATTGTGCCGGGCCCTTAGATCGATAACACGCGTTGGCTGCCTTGATTTTGGGGGAACTCGCGCAATGCGTCCTCAAATCTTTTCCCTGCCGTGAGATTAGTTTTCTTTCTAGCAGCTATAATGTACTATCTACCAGTGTACATATAATATCCACAAACTACAAAGTATAGATGTTAAACATATATGTCGAACCGATTTCAAGCATTATTCAGTTATTTACGCCTTGGCTTGTATCTTTATATTCCCATTGTTGTTTTCCGATGAATGATGTTGGCATCAGCTTAATCTGCTTACTGTTTAACTTTGTGCTCAAAGATATGGTTGTTTCATATATTTTAGCCATAATGTGCAAACGTTTACGCATAGCATTGTTCGTGTCATCTGTTGAACGAAACTATATTTTCTAATTACGTTTCATTGTTATGCTTAGATGCATGTGTGTTATGACATGGAGGCTTATGTTTCTGATCAAATCATCGTCAATACCATCCATTTTAATGGAGAAATGGAGTGGATTTTCGTACAAGAGAGGAAGAGAAAATTTCTGAATAAATGCCTCCGAAAATTAGACTTTCAGTTATCGCTTATTTTGCACTATTGCCACAAAAAATATGCTGATTTTGTACCATTATTTTATTAAAATATGGTGATTTTTAGTCAGAAGATCCGCCGACCTTTGCCCCCGGCACCGAAATTAGTGCGAAGTTTCGTGGCGCTTTCTGCGAAGCCAAGATCAAAGATGTTTCCCGCAGTCTAAAATGCAAGGTATGGCTCAACTTTACTGCACTGTTCATTTTCGATTCTGAATGTATGCGAAAGCGTTTTTTCCATGACATCCTTTTGAAACTTATGCACACTGTTTTGACTCATGTTTCATTGAATTTGGACTTGCCTTAGCGTAGCAGTATGGCCCATTTTCTTAACTTTTGCAATAACGCATAAGTTTTTCACGACTATATTTCACGGAATATTGCACCGAAACCTTTCTTCTAATTGCCTTACTGACCATTTAAGCAGACCATTTCTCCATGGATATTTGATAATCTGCGATGCAAGATGCGTTTCACGCTAGTTTATTCGCTAGAGCTATCTGCGGCCATTACAAGCAGTGATTCAAGATCTGGTAGTCCTTATATGTTACCGCATTAACATCAGGATATGTTCGTCTGACGGAATGTATTAGATAATGCATAACTCATCCAAGACTAGATTATCTACATGAGACAGTGCCACGCTGTTCAGAAGCAGATGTAAGATGTATTAAAAGAAGGCGTGTGTAAAGACAGTATGCAGCAGATGTGCGACAGAGGTTGACATAATAAAAAAAATACGACGGGATATTGGCTGTACATTTTATTGAATGGTTTTTTGTCATCTGTTTGCAGATTGATGACGCATCTGATGATGAGACATAGAATGGATCTTCTCTGAACGTCTGTTGGTCGACGATATACCTAAAGTGATTCGCTGTAGTTGTGCTTTCTTCAGTTAAGCGAAAAGCAGTGGAGCAATTGGAGAAGTTCAGATACCTTGGGGTCGTGTTTACTGGTGATGGAAAATTTGAGGAAGAGATTTTCCCTTCAGATTGGAATAGCTAGTGATGTTCTGCGTGAACCAATCCGATCCATTTTGACTAAAGCAGAACTGAGTCTGAAGACTCGGTGGTCAAGTCGATCTTGATCCCGATGCTCACCTACGATCGTGAATTGTGGACCATAGAAGGAAAGAAAAAACTTGAAAATCTTCGATCTCTACCAGCGGCTGAATTGGGCTTTCTGAGACGAGTCCCTATCCTTTGGCGTCTCTTCATGGTCCGGAATATAGACATCTGCGAAAGCCTTTTTGTACAGTCACTGTTTCTTCAGATTGAGAAGTCACAGCTGCGATGGTTTGGGCATGTATTGCGTTTGCCTCTGGGAAGGAAGGCGAACCGACTAATTCTTTCCCAGTCGAACGGCGTAAGGCCCAGGGGATGGTAAAGATTAAATTTGGGTAGATGTATTGAAGGACTTTCAATGCTTGACCACTCAAGAATTGGTTGTCATCTGCAGAAGCTCAAACGCTGTCACAGGATTCGGAACGTTGGAAGCACTGTCTGACGCGTCCGCCTCTGCGACCCGAAAGCAGGAGCGGTCTTGGAAGATGAAGAAGATGATTTCTTGTTGCTGATAGCTAGTTACACTTTGTTTTGCAACTTAACGTTGAATGTCTGCTATCGCTTAAGATGGTTCGTTCAGAGATTGATGGTCAGGTTGATGAATTTTTTCGTAGTCTCCTGTATTACCTATGCAATAATCTGGCCAATCTGACGAACCACAGGGTTCACGGCTGGTCTGATTCTGTCCAAATGCCGACTTGAAAAGCGAATCACTTGCCAAACCTTACCAAACATGCTTATTCAGTCATGCATCTAAGGGATTTGTCTTCCTGAAGTTTATCCTCATCGACCTATCTAAGACTTGCGTAATATATTAATTGGGGCTGAATCGTTTCCTTACTCAAGTTGTTCATGCCTTCGGAACTTTTCTCTTGGAGAATACGCAGTCAGTCTGATTTCAGTATTAGCCTCCCCGCTTGCGGAGAGTATTTCGCCGAACCATTTGCAGTATCTTTGGCCTTGTTTTCAGAAGAGTGTTGTTGGTGCCCTTTGCTTAGTTTCTGTAAGCACTATGCGCTCACTGAACTGGTCTTCTCGGTCCAGGGCCCTATTCTGCTATCGCATGTCCAAAATCGTTCCACTGAGCGGAACGGCCGAAAAATGCAGGCACTGTCTCTTTAGCCTATTACAATTATGAACAATCTGTATGCAGTACTTTTTGTCAGATATTTTTTCTAGTTCGGTATAGGATCTTGAAACTTCATCGTCTGTATGACCTGGACTTTAAGAATAATCTAGACTTTGTTATCTAAGATCTCTTAACCTTTCAAGGGCATCCTTAGTATTCTTTCTACTCGAAATTTGTGTAGCTCTGTGGGCAGAGAACCGGTCTTGCAGTAGAAAGATCACGGATTCGACTCCCAGCAGGAGTAAGTTTTTCCTACACTGTAGGAAAACTCACTGAAATTGCTGTCCTTTGCAACTCCCAATGAACTGCAAACTGTGATGAATTTGAAATGAGTAGCATTCAGACAATGAACTTTTTTGTTTCAGGTTACATTTAAAGACGCCTGTTTGGTGGTGGACGAAAGCCAGATCAGGGGCGAAGTCAGAGTCGGCGCAGCCATTGAGTTTTTTCACCCTGACACAAAGGACACGGTTTCTGGTACAATCCAAAGTATCAAAGACTGCAGTTCCTATACCGTTGGTAATATTTCTAAACGCTCTTACTGTTACTGATTCATAGGTGTTCAAAAAGCACATTTTTGCTATGAAAATAAGATGAATTTTTAACAATGATTTAATTTTTTAAGCGCGCTCTTGCAAAGACAAACCGTGGAATGTTGTAAAGCTTTATAGCTTGGTAAACTGATTAAACGTTTTGATTTTAGGACAAATACCTTTACTATTTTTTTGCTCGAAAAAATCCATGTTTCATAGTGTCTTGAAGACTTTTTGGCAAATACCGTTTTCTTGAGACCGTCAGGTTAATAGGAAGTTGGAATCGGGGTTACTCATTTCGGCAGAGCGTTGGACTTTGAACTGAAAGCTGTCGGGTTCGAGGCCCGGTCGGTTCACTCGCTCTTCTTACTTTGAAGGTAGATCAATGGTTACAGTGTAATTGTTGACCAATGCACTCCTTAGTGTGAAGGAAACAGAAGATTATACGTTATGCATGCTACGTAGCTGCCTTTTAAATGAGGCATTATTGTCTGGTGGCGTGAAATTGAGATCAGCGCCCCATATGAAAAGTTTATCAAAGTTATTAAAAGAAGGGCACCAGGAATGCCCCAGAATAAAAGTGCGAAAAAGACCAATATCCTAGTCTTACCAGCTTTTTCTTTTCTTGCTACAACTATGAATTAAATTCTTTATGAACATAAAGTCATAATTTATATTTTTGACAAATATAATGATCATAAAAAATTAATTTTCCTCATTCATTATAGTTTTCGACGACGGTGACGAACGGGTTCTGCGCCGTACGCAGATCTGTTTGAAAGGCAAGAAACATTTCGAACAGTGCCAGGTATTGTTTTGTCTAGCGTAGCTCGTTTTTTGTTTATCGTTGCGGTATTGTTTTATATTATCGTGTCCCTCTTAAGATTTTGCGTCTGAATATGAAAACCTAAATTGCATATCTGCTTATAATTTAAAAGTATGTTAAGTATGATAAATGCTAAATACTGTATCGCCTGGGAAACAACCGTTGCGCAGGTCTGCTACTACGATGTCTTCTTCTTTCAGTGGCTTTAAGATTTTTCGTCATATGAGCTTCATGATGCATACTACTGTCGATGTAGAGAGTTTTTTTCATTCGATGTTCACAATGTAAAATAAACTGTTGTCTATTACTGTTATTATTACTAATAATCAGAAATTATTGTTGACAGTCAAGAGGGTTTTTCTTCTCCAAAACGCCAGGTTGGCCTTACCAGCTTATACCAAGGCGTCTTTCTGTTCCTTCCCGCAGTGATCAACATTTGGCGCTGTCAAGATATCTGTTCCATTTCGCTGGTGATAATACGCGGTGGGTCATTGGCTGTCACCGCATTCTCACGTAGCTCTATCATGGATACCAAATGGAACATTTATTTTGGCACGGCACATCTGATATGCTACGCGCAGATATAGAATTTGTTATATCTGTATTATATGACGTACTTGTGTGTTATATTTACTTATAGCCAGTTTATTAATTGACATAACATCATCTAAATTACGTCGTGACTTAAAAATTTTTGACTTTAGAGGCATGTGGTTTAGGTAATTTCAGTAAGTAATTCTTTGAGAGTATTTCGGCAAAGAAGGATTATATGACGTCAATCTGTAGAAAGAATTGACTTGAAATGCTTACTGTCCATACAGTATTTCCTTATAAATGCAGTCGTGCTTTTTTTGAGTGTTAGTTTCATCGGCGTGTCGACTCAGTTGCCTATTCAGCCAACTTTCAATGATCCTAGGAGTTGCATTTAGCCGCTGGTGGGTAGAAGGATTCGGAACTTATATTTTAGACTTTAAGCCACAAGACTTCTGGTCTTTAAATTTAAATAGGCTTAGTTGAGAAAGATGCTGAAATTTTACTCTTTACTTTTACAGTTTCTCATGTCGTTTGTCTTCTGAATGGATGTTAACGATCAGTGTGCCTGCAGAAAACATATTCCAGACGATAATGGATGGATTACATGGGAAATGAAGCGAGTGTAACATTATTAATTCCAATTTGCCAGTAATCACCACAGAGGAAATGCATTGCAAAACGTTGCCAGACTTTCAAATCATCCAGTTTACCATGATCCATTTGAACTCAGTATGATACCTATTGTTCTTGCTGCTATTGTAGTACTGTTTGTTACCTTCGATATTGTATACCGTGTAATGTATTTATTTGATTTTCTTTTGAGTCATTAAGTATAATGCGTTTGCAACGTTTAACCAATGTTTTGTGATGAAATCAATAGTTTATGCGTTAATGTTAATGTAACGCTACTGCGTTTTGAGTAAATATGCACAACGTTATATGTTCAGACCTTGAATGCTGTACCGCTGACCAATCCAGAAGAATTCAGCTCACCTGTGATCACGGACAGCATCAAGAAGGCAAGCGGCAGCGCGGCATCGCTGAACGACGACGACGACGAAGGCAGCAGCTCTTCTGCCGATAACGACAGCTCACCGATGACCTCGGCGAAAGGCTCGAGCCTCAAGTCTGGCTCGGCATCAAAGTCGCATTTGTCGAAACCGACTGCCGGTAGGCCGCCGAAGGTGCGTCACCAAATCGGTGACGTTGTTCGTGTGATGGAGACGAGTAAAGGTTTCAAGTCGTCTTCCTCAGCGTCCTCCGGAGTGGCCGGCCTCGGCTCTGGATCAACCTCTTCCTCGCCGGCAGCGGCGCCGTTGAGAGCTTCGAAAACGGGCGGTTGTAGCGCGTCGTGTTCTTGGTACCCGGCGTTGGTCGTCAATCCAAAGTGTCAGCGGAATACGCGTTTCAAACAGAATCAAGCTCTACTGGTGAAAAGCTTCAAAGATGGAAAACTGTAAGCAGCATGTTTTCCCTTAGAAAAATGCAAGTTGTCGAATATGCCGAAGCATTCCATTGCAAGACAATAGCGTTGCATAAAGTTTAGGAAAAACATTCTTAGCGCTATGGAACGAAATGTATGACGATGATTTAAGTGCATAAATGTATAACAAGCAGCTGTTCATAAGTTATGGGGATGGCGGCGATGACTGCTTACCTACTAATCAGACATAGTCAATGGTTTGCTAGCAATTAACACTTTATTCAAAGCTCACCACGACGCCTTAAATTTTTCTTGACTGTTAAAGCTCTTCTCAGTTTAACTGTCATAACGTCGTAAACACACGAACTTCTGCCACCGAAATATTTTTTTTGCCTTTACATGATTAGGGTAATAAACGTTAAGTTGGTTTATTTTCTAGGTATGTGGTGATGAAAAACTGGCTGAAAAAGTTTGACGTGAGCGCTGTGAAGAGGATGAATCTTACTTCTTTGAAACAAGGTAATCTTGTTAGCTAATCAGTTGTGCGTCAGTTTACTGATATAATCATATTTGAAAGTCATATATAGCATCCGAAGTCCTTTTATCGCTCTTTCAAAGTGGCACTAGGCCGTCAACGAGTTCTCAAAATGATACACAACTGAGTCCTAAGACTTTGACAAATTCAATGGTGCTGCAAAAATTTGAGTAATATACCAGAGAGATTGGAAGAGGCAACAATCACCAACCCGCGAGGCCATCGTTATGAGTTATTGGCAAAATTTCCCAGATTAAATCGCAACTGAAACTACGGCTCTGATTCCGCGAAGACCGCATGGCCGCCAGCACCAGCAAGCGCAACAGCTGGGCAGGCATGAAGGGAGAAGGTTCTAAGAACGTTTGGGCTACGGATGGTAGCTACCACAGTTTAATAACGCTGGCATCATACAACTTCGAATCACTTCTAGGCGAAACAAGGCTTCAAGAACTTCAAGAAAAACTTGAAAAAGTCAAGTGGGACATTTTCTGGACTCAGCGAAGCTATATGAAAGGAGAAGAAGCAGTTGGAGCTTAATGTAGAACATTTCCATCGGAAAATGAAATAGTAGAGGGAGTAGGGTTAGTTGTTCACAGAAGACTAAAGAGCAGTGTTGTACGAGTAGACAGCATTGGTTCTGAAAGTTTCAGAGATACTAATTTCAGGTAAATCAATATATGCTAATGAACAGATTGAAGATTTTTATGAAGAAAACATACCTTTTTTTCAGTTCAAAAAACAACTATCGAAGTATTC